CATTTATTTGAAATTGTATAGGGCAGCGGTGTCAAACTGGTGGCCCACAGGCCAAATGTGTCACATGCAGGCCACACCCACCCCACCTCTGCAAACGGGAAACCATCACGAAATGTCACGTGACAGCAACGTGATGCGGCAAGCTTGACACCCATGGTTTAGGGTCTCCTGCTTGAGCAGGGGGGATTGGACTAGAAGATCTCCAAGATCCCTTCCAACTCTGTTATTCTCTTAAAAATATCCATTGGATAAAATGGGTATGCACTTACAACCATCTAGCTCACTTAATGACTGGTTGGTTTGCTTAATTCCTATGTGACTTACTTAACAGCCATTTTAAAAGCAATTGTTTAGTCAAGTGATGTCTCAGCTTACCATCACAACAAAATTCTGGTGTCAATTGTGCTTGTAAGCCAAAATGTAAGATGGAAAGATTCAACATTGTCCACAATGGAGGAATGGCTGGTGAAATTGACAGATCTTGCTCAGATAAACTAATGTCTTTGATTAGAATGATAGCTGCAGTTACTGCTGAATAGAAATTTCGTATGGAATTTTTGTGTAAAAATAAAAATGAACTCTTGATTTCTGGTTTTGATTGGGCAGGATACTCTATGGAAAGAAGACAAACATGAAATAAATTTAGAGGATGTAGGATTTGCAGAACATGGGGACGAGGTAGATCACAGCCTACTTTTTGGTAAAACAGAAAACTGTGGGATAGATAGCATCACCACCAGATGGATTTGTTGACCAACTGCACTCAGTGTGTTGTCTTCATTGGATCTACTTAATATAAATAGAGGAAAGCATGCTGTGGAGTACCTCAAGGTTCTGCCTTAGGCCCAGTACTTTTAAATATCTTTATAAATGATATAAAGAAGGGAATAGAAAGGGATCTAATCAAATTTGCAGACAATACCAAGCTGGGAGAAATAGTCAACACTTCAGAAGAGACTCAATATATAGAAGGCTCTTGATAGACTTGAACATTGAGCCTCATCCAACAAAACACAATTCAGTCTGATAAAAGTAAAGTCTTACATTTAGTCAAGAAAAATCAAATGCACAGTATAGAATAGGCTGTACCTGACTCAACAGTTGTGACTGTGAGAGAGATCTAAGTGTCCTAGTGGATAACCACTTAAGTATGAGCCAGCTGTGTGTTGCAGTTGTCAAAAAAACAAACAAACCCAATAAAGTCCTAGAGATGGCAACAGGATCACATGATAGTACTGCACTGGTAAGACCAAAACTAGAATACTTCATCCAAGTATGGTCACCACGATACAAAAAAGACACTGAGGCCCTAAAACGTGTGCAGAGAAGTGCAGTAAAGATATTAGGGATCTGGAGGCTAAACATGCAATGATCTGTTGCAGGAATTAGGTATGTCTAGTCTACCGAAAGGACGTTGTGACTCAGTGGCTAAGACGTTAAGCTTGTCCATCAGAAAAGTCAGCAGTTCGGTGGCACTGCATAATGGAGTGAGCTCCTGTTACTTGTCCCAGCTTCAGCCAACCTAGCAGTTCAAAAGCATGTAAAAAATGCAAGTAGAAAAATAGGGACCACTTTGGTGGGAAGGTAATAGCATTCCATGCACCTTTGACATTTAGTCATGTTGGCCACATGACCACAGAGACGTCTTCGGACAGCGCTGGCTCTTTGGCTTTGTAACGGAGATGAGCACTGCCCCCTAGAGCTGGAAACAACTAGCATGTATGTGTGAAGGGATCTTTAGTCTATGGAAAAGGAATAGGGGTGACATCATAGCATGTACTTGAGTGGCTGTCCTGGAAGGGGGTCAATCTAGCCTCCAAAGCAGCTGAGGACAGACAAGAAGTAACAGGTGGAAGATCATTAAAGAGAGATCCAACCTAAGGAGAAATTTCCCGATAGAACAATTAAACAATGGAACAGCTTGGCTCCAAAAGTTGTGGGTGGTCAGTCACTGGAGTTTTCAAGAAGAGATTGGAAAGCCATTTGTTTTGAATGGTTAAGCAGGGGGTTGGACTAGATCACAGGGGTGTCAAATTGGCAGCCTGAGACCCAGATGCATCATGTGCAAATCACGCCCACCAGTGGTGGGATTCAAATTTTTTTACTGCCAGTTCTGTGGGCATGGCTTGGTGGGCATGGCAGGGGAAGGATACTGTAAAATCTCCAGAGGTGGTATTTGCTGGTTCTCCAAACTACTCAAAATTTCTGCTACTGGTTCTCCAGAAGTGATCAGAACCTGCTGAATATCACCTGACGCTCACCCTAGCTCCATGAAGGGGGAAAATGTTGCAATATGTCACATGACAGCAACATGATGCCATGAGTTGGACACCCGTAGACTAGATCTCCAAGGTCCCTGTTACTCTTATGTTCGCTGATACATCTTTTTATAAAACTTGTCTTTGAGATGATAACATGTAATCTTTCTTGTTTTATTTTTTTCTATTTTAGATCTTCCTGTTGCACTTTCAGCTTTTTCACTTTTTCTGTTCTAATTTAGTTTGTTATAGTTCTTAAAATTTGTAATAAATTTTGTATTAAAATATGTATCATATTACTTCAATTTTAATTACATTACATGATGTCAAATTTAGTTTCTTGGTCGAAAGAAAAAGAACACTGACAATATATTTCATGTTTGTCAACAATGTGACAAATAGCATGCCACAAGTCAGCCATTGATACCAAGTTTTGGGGAAGTGAAAGTGTAGTCTCATCATTAGGTGTCAGTCGCCAGAAATAGTCATAGTCCTTCTAGGGACCTGGGGAAGTTTACATATATTTATATCATTGTCACTTTTGCGTGGAAAAAGGGTTGGGGCGAAGCCAAACATACTGAGATCATGAGATGTAACACAAGTTCTTGCTAAAGGAATATAGATAAAGGGAACTTCCACAATATTACCATTTCCACTTTCCAAAGTACTTTGAAATCAACCCCAAATCATTTTTACTTCTGCTGGCCTTGAAACACAGAGTAGGCAGAGAGAAGCCTAACTCAATTAGTGGAACCTGTGATTGATCAGTAGGAGAGGGCATAGAACATAATTCAGTCAGCACCTTGCTTGAAGTTGCCACTATTAACAAAAATTATCATTCCTCGCTCTAGCCAAAGAGGTATTGGTACTCCTTCCACATATTCCATTCATATTCTGTCCATTCTTTTATGTGCTGGAAAAAATAATCCAGTGGCTTAGATGCATTGAATCCTTTAGTACTGAAGCCTCTAGTCAATTACACAATCTGTTAACATTTTTGTCCAGTTTAGTTTCTTCTGTTTATATAAATAACCAGAATGCTTGCCTCACTCAATTAGCAAATTATTTTTTCCCTTCTGGATGGACTGTAACCAAGTGGGTTTGTTTTTGGTTTAACAACAATCTAAGACAGCTTTTAAAGGGGTGAAAATAAGGTGAAAAACTGCTATGTGCCTTAATGTGGTGGAAATAGAACAAGAAATGGAAAAATCTTGAAATTTTGCCTCTGAGGGGAGGAAATAAGAGAAGAATGGGGAAAAATGGTTCTCCTGTATTGCCTTCAGAGTCTGAGGAAGCACTGAGACAAGGAGGAAGAATATGCATAAGCATCTTCTTCTCCTAAGGCAGTGATGGCCTTTCCATGTTGCATGCCAAAAGTGTGTGCATGCATGCTTGCAGGCCTGCACCCATCACGCACTGCATGTGATTCCCCGGCCCCATGCGCATGCACACGCAGCCCCCCGCATTGCATGCCTCTGCTCATGCAACCCCCTATATCTCCTTTTTGTAGTTACCCGACAATCAGCTGGCTGGCGGGGTGTACGCGTGTATGCGCAGTGGGGCTCTTCCAGACAACCTTTCACGTGCCGGCAAAAGTGGCTCTGTGTGCCACAGGTTCGCCATCACAGTCCTAAGTATATGGGAAAGGTCTAAAGGTCTACCAGTGGTTGATACTTGATATCTTCCATCAGTACATTCTCTTCCCCACTCTTTACATGTTGGAGATGACTGAATTGAACAGGCACACAACTTCCTCATTTGTATGACTTAGACACGAAACAAGTCTAAGCATATAAAATTGTAATTCAAATGAAGGCATACAAAGGTTAAAATTGATACCCCTGCTCTGCCAAAATAACTGGCTAATCAGCACTTTCCAGACCAAAACACTTTATCATTTGAACCAAGTTTATCCATTTGACTAACTAGCTGTATGTAACCATACCCATCACTAGACTGTCACTGCTAGTTCTGGAAAAACGTGTTGTTTAGCTGACTTCTGACCTAGATAAACAAAATGTCTATGTGTTGGTTGGGTGTGGGAGGGCAAGGAAGCAGGAAATAAGATTCTTGGGATCAGTAAAGTTACACAAGCAAGCTATGAAAGGTTACCAGGTTACTCCTTTAGTGCCCTTTCCTGTTCTGAGTCGCCAATTCAAATCATTTTGCTCAGCTTTTTGCTGTTAATGAGCCATTAACTGAAAAGAATGATTGTATTTCTTATGTCAATATTTTAGTTCCAATAGAAGACAAAAGAATTCCCAAAATTTGAACTGAGTATTATTTCAGGCAAAGGAAATGATCTTTACTGGATTTTGAGTCCCCTTCACATTGAATCCATTATGTTAGTATAACTCTGTGTGAAGTGATTCTGTATCAAGTGGAAAATTTCATTGGCTGGAGGTACCTGCTGTTTTCAAGTGTCTTTCCCATTTGTCATGTAACCCTTTGTCTTAAAACAATTGTCTGCAACCTTTGCAAGGTGTAGAATAAAATAGAAATCACTACCTTTTTAAAAAGTAATTCCAGAAAGAAAATGAACAGAAACAGCAGAAACATATTAAATACAATCTATATTATCTCTATATCTTTATTTATCATATTTGCTTGTTTCCGCAAAGCAGTATAACATCACAAATAACAAAACAGAGACAACAGCTTGTCTCTGAACTCACATCAGTTATTATTACATGATAGGTACAAAACTAAGTAACTCTGTCTTATTATACAGTTTTTCCCCCCCCCCATTTATATACAAATATCTAAACTATATGGAAAAATAGTAAAAACAAAACTCGCAGTATGCTGCATGGCAAAAAAAAAAAAAAAACCCAAGGAGAGAGAGGAAAGGAGCTGATAGTACTGCAGTGCCAATATTATTTTGATGGGACACATGTATAAGCACATGTATTAAATGGTTGGTCTCCCAGGAACCCTAACTGGGATGGGCAATCATTGACCAGTCATCCCTTTCATCTCTTTCCTGTATGGATATACAATAAACTCTTCCCATCACGCAGCACTGTGGCTTTCATATGGCTCTATTTTTTTAAAAGTCACACTATTATTGGACCCATGGTATTTGCTTTGTGGGTATCACAACTGCTTATAGGTTGCTTCCGCGTAATCAGCTTGTACACATAGTATACATATATGTGGTACACATTAATACAAATAAAAAATAGAGCTCTCCCCAACACTGAAATATCTGCAAGTCAGTCACATTATTCACCCATTCTATTTAAAAAGGAGGCTTATGATGAAAACTTTTCACACGTGCAAGTGTTAGCAAGGTATTCTGAGAACGAGGATAGTTAGGAAAATTATTTGGAAGCAAAGTAGCGCTGAAATAAATAGAGAGACTGTGCATGCTTCAAACATTATTTGGAAGTGCATGAGAGGTTCTGCAATTCAATAAAGGAGCCTGACCTTGTTCAAGTTTCTTCAGATGCCTGACAAAAATGTTGTTGCTTTGTAAGAATCACTTTAACTTCAATGAGTGTAATTCCTTAAAGCAATAGCAACACTTTTCTTGGCTTCTACACAAGATAAAAGCTGGAAAAAGGTCCAGCTTCTTTAATAAATAGCAGAAAAATGCTAATTTCAACATCTCTTTAAAATATTGAGGTTGTATGTCATCCTATTCAATAAAAAATCCCTACTATTCCATATACATGGAATATATATATATATATATATATATATGGAGGAAGTTTTCATCATATTTTTGCTGCCATTAGTCTGTTATTTTAATTGGACATCAATTATCTAAGTTTGTGGAATTCTGGGTGCCCAGAACCAATGACAGGATTTTAAAAGTTAGCCCATATGAATATGTTGTACAAGTCAAATGAAGCAAGGCAGATGATTGTGGTGCTTACAGAGACATGTTCCTGTTCTGTCTTCCTTTCTTCATATCTCAAGTTCTCTAACTATTTCAGGCAGAAAATGTGAATGCAGCGTTTGTCCTCCATTGTTCAAATTTTCTCCAATATCTTCTGGAAAAAGGGAACTGCATTTTATGATGACAGCAGCCACAACCTCACTATCTCTCCAGGAAAAAGAATAAACAAATTTCGGCAAACTTCCCAAGTCCACACAAACACATTTTGCCAAACAAGTACAATTTGGAGAAAGGATGCTAATAATTGCTATACAAATCTGTCTTTGCTATAATGTGGCATGTGTGTGGGGGGGTCTCAGGTGAGAATATTAAGGCACAGAGAAAAGGAGCAATAGAGTCAACCCCCCCCTGAGATCCTCATATTTAGACTCTCCAGTGAAGGGGTTACAGGCACCATATGAAAAAGTGCCAAATAACCACAACACGATGTGGGAGAGCCAGCAGCTTAGAACAGAGCCAGCATTGCTGATTTCATAATCTATGCAGGAGACTCAGGAAGGGCCTAATGTTACCCCCCTTTTATGCAGCAATGTGTTAAAACAGGCACAGTTACCACACCCACAACAGCAACAAAGACGTGCAATATATTACAATTAATCTGATTGCCCTTTTCAGTTTTAAAATGTATCTGGCAAATCCAGTGGCAGCAGATTTTACTGCTTGCATAGGGGAGCTTGTGATTCTTAGACAAAAGATACATCATGCCTAATGAGATCAACATGTTTTAATCTCATGGTTTGTAGACAATAATGGCAAAGAAAATACCCACACATCCCACAGATATGTTTAGATATCTTGGCCAGACTGGAACAGAACAAGAGGAAGGGAAGGGAAAATGGAATGTTCTCCATCTTAGGCGAATTCCATCCCACTGCATTTAAAATTAACTATTAACATAGGTAAAATATTTACAGCAGAAAGGACAAATGGTAACTTGCCATAAATGTTATAGAATTTAAAGTCCAGGAGATGCAGAGTTCAAAAACAGACAGTGCAAAAGAGATTTCTGTATCACTGCGTGTACAATTGCTCCTCCAGAAGAAAACACAAATGACAAAAGGCAACCAGATTCTAACAGTGCATACAATCACAAATTAAATTAATGGAGGAAAGCAATCTTGCACATTTGGATTTGGTATCTAGGAAGATCAGACGAGGCCTAAAGAAAAATAATTCAACATGACCCTCATCCATAATGAAACCTATATTATATGGGATACGTGCTTCTATTTATTGAGCAACTTTCCTGGGACTATGCATCCAGATTTGTATCATGGGAAGCTTTCCCTGAAATTCTGGATCATTCTTACAGAGATGTCTTTCTCTACAGATGGGAGAAACCTTGTTTTGCAGAAAATATCTTGCAGATTCTTTTGAAATACTGGGCAACCAAAAATACCCACAAATGCTATATTTCACTTCTGCATAGGGAAAAAGAATTTCTTGTCTTCCCCCATTCGCACTCTGGATCTTTTGCAAAGACTAATTGCATATATCGCACTATTAATTAAAATAAATCCTGCCCACAATGAAAAACTTAATAGAACGAATTAACGGGGCAATAGCTAAGGATGACTGTTTATCTTCAATCAGAATTATGAGGGTAGAGATACCTTTTCATAATAGAGTACAGAAAGGAAATTTTCTGCTAGTTTCATTTCAAATAATTTAGCAAATGAATAAAGATACAGCCTCATTTATTGGGAAACATTTGTCTGATTTTTGTATTACCAGCCCTTTGCCTTACCAATAACATAAAAACTATTAAAATGTGTTTTACTCATCTTACACCTCTGTTCTAGGCTACAATTTAGTATTCTTTTATTTTTATTTTTCTTTATTAAGTGAAATGTGGACTAGGTAAGCTTTTAGAAAAGAAAGTCCATACCACCCGCATTAGCCACAATGGTCCTTGCTTACAATTGGCATCAGAAGGTGCCCAATCCTGACTCGAGCACCATGTAAAAAAGGAATATAACCTGTTTTCTAGTTCAATAAATAAAAGAAAGTTCCAGGCTATGGCATGGTCCACCAACCCCTTAAAACTCATCATCCGAGCTCAAAAGCAGGGTCTTCTCATTGTCACGGACACCAGAGGTGCTATGAGAACGTGAAATGATGTGACTGCCATTCCGCCATGCTGGTCCATGTTCCAGGGTGGACTGCTGTGTGTATTGCTGGTAGGCTGGGGAGAAGTTATGGATAGCATCCTGGACAATATCGTGGGGGTTCATGGTCTCCTTAAGGCTGCTAGAGATGCTCTTCATTGGGGCACACCGTCCTAGAAAGAAACACCGCATATGAAAAACCGAAGTTTTTCTCCAGCTATCCCATAAACCTTTTCAAAAACTACCTACAGAAGTTTTTCCTAGTGCCCATATATTAACAAGGGCATGAATTAGGCAGGAATTAATTTTGACAACTAAAGAATTTGGATACTACCTCAAATTTGGAGTAAATGTATTTTAAGTATATTTTGGGTTTTTTTTTTTTCAGTTCTTTCATAAAAAATATTGACTCCAACTCTAAATCTTATCTTTGTAAGCTGCCCAGAGTAAATTTTCTTAAATAAATACATAAAACTATAAAACTTTATTTCTTTAGCATATAATTTGAAGTAAGTGGGTCATTTTATTGTTGCTCCTGTTAAAAAGCTCCTGTAAGTTGTGAATCATCTAGAGATCTATCATAAATTAGAAAATCTATATTATGCCTACCAATGGTGTAGATCAGGGGTCCTCAACTCCGAGGCCATAGACCAGCCCTGGTCTGCAGCACGCCAGGAACCAGGCCATGCAGATGAGCAAAGCCCCATCTGGGCACGTGCGGGATGTAGGTAGTGTGCAAAACCAACCCCCCCCCCCGATCCGCAAAAAATTCTCTATAGAACCAGTCCCTGGTGTCCAAAAAACTTAGGGGCCGCTAGTGTAGATCACATAGTTACTGGGGTGGGATGGGGGAGAATAATGCCTTTGCTACTTTTATTCACAATATGTCTACTATGATTGAACTAAAACAGTGAAGTAAAAAAGATCATCAGGATATTTTGGATAGTACACTATTGCAATTAAAGAAACAAAAGCTGTTATAATCTTCAGTATAGATATTTTCCAGAGGTGTGGGCATATTCCAAATGGTCCTTGCTTAGCACCAGAAACTCTCTATAAAAAGGAAACAGCAACTGACTGCCAACATACGATTTTATCTTGGTGTTCTCCCTTAACTCCATGGGAAGTATACAAATGGCAATCATGTGACTGCAGAACGCTGGGATGATCATAAATTGATAAATTAATGGTCACTAAATGAGGCAGTTAGTAAGTGAGGACTACCTGTCATCTACTGCAGCAAAAGCCATAGTGTTTCATATCATTTTATCTACTAATACTTCACTACTAAAGGCATACTGAGTCATATTGCATACAAACCCATTAGAGACGATCTTCAGCTGTAGGTTTTTTTAAAGTTTTAATTACAACTGTTCCTATCAGGCAGAACTTTTGTAGTGTTCAGGAAATATGTTTAATGAGGCCTTTCGCTATTTCCCCAAAGTACAAGTATTCGCTGCTTCTAAAATATGATTTAGGAGAAATAGTGCAGGAAGCTGAAGTATCTCAACAATAAAGAAACAAACAAATGCAGAGAGAGCTTGGCACCTACCATATGGACCATATGATGGAACAGCTGCGCCAGATACCAGAGCCCAAAGCAAAGGAAAAGAGAAAAAGGAGGAGAGAAAAAAAGAGGAAGATATGGGAAACAACAGTCTGAAATGGCAAGCAATTCTCAGGTTGTATAGCAAGTTGAAATCTTTACTCTCACCCTCCACCCAATTTCACCAAAGCTCTTGACCCGGAAGTCTTACTCAAGCAATACATGTAAAAAAAAATTCTATACAATCAATGCTGAACAGCACAATTGAAATACTAATAAAGGAGAATATTTGTAGCTCAGGGTTGAAATAAGAGGGGGTCCTTGGTGTTCTCTGAGCTTGGTTATTTTCTTGCAGCTGTTTCATTTCCCAAACATCAACAATGCTAGTAAGGAGTGGGGTTTCTCCTCAATATAAATTCCAGTTGAGATGTTTCTTCTCAATATAAATTCCAGTGGCTTGCCCTGTCAGTGTTGGTGGGAGTGGTTTTAGTTATTCTTTGATTGGCCTGTTTACTATTAGCTTCTTCGGCGGTTCCTCGATTGGGGTACCGTTTACTTCTTTGACACCAAGACAGGGATGGGATTCAAATTTTTTAACAACAGGTTCTGTGAGCATGGCTTAGTTGGTGGGTGTAGCTTGGTGGTCATGTTATTGCCTGGACATGGCCAACTCAATATCACTCACATCAAGGCACGCATCTCCTTGCCTGGCCTCTCATGACTGTGGGGATGCTGCAGCAGTCATAAGTGTGAAAAATGGTCATAAGTCACTTTTTTCAGTGCCATTGTAACTTTGAATGGTCACTTCACACAAGCAAAGTACCAGCAAAGGAGGAAAAAAAACTCCAGAGATGTTCCTGAGACAGGAAATCTACTCCTGCCAAGAATGTAATAAGGGTTAACGGAGAGGCAGTTTCTGTAAGCAACACCAGAATGTTTCCTTCCTGCCTTCCTTACAGGATTAGGCCAGTAATTTCTTCTAACAACTGGTTCTCTGAACTGCTTAGAATGTTAACAACCGGTTCTAGTGAATAGGTGTGAACCTGTAGAATCCCACCCCTGCACCAAGGTTAATATCAGACCAACAATCAAAAAGTAAACATATTGCAATCAAGGAATTGACAAACATGCTAGCAGCAAATAGGCTAATCAAAGAATCCCCAAGACCACTCCCACCAACACTGACTGGACAAGCCATTAGGACCATGATGGTGAACCTATGGCATGTGTGCCGGAAGTGGCATGCAGAGCTATTTCTGCGGAACGTGAGCTGTCACCCGGAACAGATCCACTGCGCATGCCCATGCACCTCCCGCCAGCCAGCTGATTGTTGAGTATCTGCCGTGCATGCGTGGGGCACGCATGGGAGATGCATGCGCAGAGGCACATGGCGGGGTCGCACATACATGCACATACGTGCATGGTGTGCAGGGGTCATGTGCACATGTGCAGAAGCACGCGGTGCACATGGGGGTTGCGCACGCATGCACAGGGGTTGCGTGATCATTGCATTACGATGACGAAAAGGTTAGCTATCACTGAACTAGAACACAAACTAAGAGGAAACCTCACTCCCTGCTAGCACTGATGATGTTACCTAGTTTGGATAATTAAACTGCTGCAAGAAAACAGCCAAGCACAATGAGCATCAAGGACCCCTTATAATAGAAATAAAAGCACTCACCCCACTTTTAATATTAAAAAAGAAAGTGAACATCAGACTTTAATGCTGACTGTCTGTATTTAAATCTTTGGAGATGTGTTCTAATGGTCAAAATACAACTTGGCTTTCCTGTGCCTTCAATATTTCTACTCTCTTCATTTTAAGACTGTTATTCCAAAACGACTTTTCTTATTTTCACATAGATGCACAATTCAACAGGGATATGCCTTCTAGTTGCCTTTTGCTCATTTCATAATCTATGCAGGGGAATCCTTGTTAAGTCTATAAAACTGCTGGTGGAACTCACAGGACAGTGACCTATAATCCTACATCCTACATAAAATGGTCTTTCACTTCTATGTAGTGATGTTCAGAGAAATGAAAACCAGATCTGGTACAAATCTATGATCAAATACAACAGAAGGAAAACACATTCTATTTTTCAAATGAAGTATTCAGAAATTGAATTAAGTCAGCTTTTTATTGCAAATTCAGTAATGACCTCCATACCTTGTGCATCAAGATGCTTGTCTGCATAGACCTTGTAAGTGAATGCATACCGCAGAGCAATAGCTGCAAAGAACATTTCCACGCAGATGATGAAATCCTGATAGCCAGCCGCTACGGTCCCCACAGATACATTGGCCGAGCGGATCTTAGGGATTGCACCACACTTCTCCAAAATGGCCAATAGCATCCCTGAAATGAAAGGAATATTCTGAAGTCCCTTTCCCCAGCGTATTCATTTTTGCATGTTTTACTGTGGATTATTATTCATTGCTGATATCTTAGTACAAACATTTCTCATTACGATTATCACTGATTTTGGTTCATGTTCTCATTCATTTTAGTTGTTAAATCTTTTTGCTTAATGTATTTTGTTTCATTCTATTCCCTCTCCCTCTCTTTCCCTCCCTCCCTCCCTTCACCCTCTCTCTCTCTTTTTGGGGGGAGGGGGAAGGTCATACTGTTTCTTTCATCAGGGAGCAATGGTTTTAAGTTAAAGAAAAATAGATTCACACTGAAAAGTAAAAGATAAGAATGGTTTAACAATGAAGCCAATTATCTAGAAAGTTAACCTTCATTGCGGCATTCACAACTACATTGTGTAGATGATTTCATTTCAATTACTATGCGAAGCAAGGAGTTGGACTCTATGATTTAAATGTTCCTGTGTTTTTATTCTACTACAGTTTATTCCAAATCTCAAAATAGAATATAACAATATAAAAGAGAGTGTATAATATACTTAATGTTCAACTTTGTTTTTAACTTCAGGGTGCAATTAGTAGCAAAACCAAAAATGAAAACAAATGAACTAGTTAACTGTTAAATGATTGGGGAAGGAGATGTATTTTTACTTCTTCCTAAACGATAGGAGCCAAATGCAGCTCCTTAGGGCAGTCACTGCATACTATCAGCTAAAAGAAAGTTGCAGTCGATATATTAGTCCGAACTGTGCAAAAGTGCTCTTCACCTCAGTTGCAAAATCAGTGATAGTTGAGGGTCATGGAGGACTCCCAAACTGTAAACCAGGGGTGTTAAATTGAAGGCCCAGGGTGCTTAGATCTGGCCCATGGGGCCATCCTGGAAACAGCAAGGGACCAGTTTACAGTGCCTCTGCCAATGAAAGAAGAGCTGGGGGGGGTCTGCACGTGGTCCTTGCAAGCTCAGTTTTCACTGGCAGAGGGTTGCAGGAAGCTATCGCGGCCAAAAATGGAGCTTGGCAGGCCGTTTTTGCTGGTACTCGGGCCCCCAAAGGTGCCCCCTGACATGAGTGACTTCGAGCTGGCCACGCCCACTACGGCTCCCAAGGTCAAACACAACACTGATGTGGCCCTCAATGAAATAGAGTTTCACACCCCTGCTGTAAACCTACTTTTTCTGGGGGACTCCAACCCAATCCAGAGATAATCTCAACCCCAGAGTTCAACTTTCTTTTCTCCTTACCAAGAGACCTCTGTTTTCTCTGAATTTAATATCAGCATTTTTTTCAACATACAGCTCATTATTGAGATTTAGTCTGTGTTAAAAGGTAACTATTTCTTCTTTGGAGTTAGAACATAGGGAGCAGTTGAGCTGAATAGCATCCTATTCCAAAGAACCAAATGACCTCTCCCAGTAGTTTCACGTAGCATAGGAAATAAGACAGAACCCGTGGCCTATGTTATTAAACCATACTTCTCTAGAAGTATGACACCACCTGACACCTCTTTCTATACTTCAGATAAGATGAAGGATCTGAACCACTGTAAACAACAGTCCATGTCTGACGGCCTAAAAGAGTAAACTTCAAAAAAACCCAGTTCAGATCAGAATCTGTTTAGGAAAGACAGTGCTGATGATATATCTTTAAAAAGATTTTAAAAACCCTTCTATGTCTGTTTATGCCATCCAAAATCTGGAGTGATGACTAATCACTCAGAAAAGTAATTATTTATATTATACAAGACATGATGTCAGGTTTTCACTCGCCAATCCAGGCTTTCATTTGTTATGGTTTTATGTTAATTTGAATGTAAAACATAGATATGGTAACCAGTGGTTGATTATGTATATTGTGTACCAATCCAGAAAGGATGCTAAATTCAAATGGGGGATTTATTGCACAAAGTACAATGAATAAACTTAAGTATATATTCTAAAAACTGCTGCAGGATTGATTTGTTTATTTAGCACCTTCTATTCATGAAAATTGGAAATAATCTGATTCTCAAACTTCCTGGCTTGACTGAATGGATTGCCTTAATACACCAGAGTGGAAGGATTAAATAAGAGGTCTGAATTATAACTGATTTATAAATGAAGTCAACATACAAAAATGGCACTGGAAATAAAAAAAGTCAAATGTAACATTATTCAATTATAAGGAGCTACTAAATGTTCCCAATTATTTGTGCCTGCGAGTTGTAAGCATGTATATTAATATCTCACCTTGCCAAAAGGACAGGAAAATAACAGACTTGACCATGAAAAATTTTAGGACAGGACTATAAGGACTGAGAAGTTCACGGGTGGCAAAATAGAAGAGGAAGAGGGCATACAAAGCCAAGCTGACTGAAATATTGTAAATGATTGTCACATAGAGATATCCACTTGTGACACTGGAAAGGAAAAAAAAGAACATGTCAATGTTTTTAGTACTGTTTATCTTAAGAAAAGTTACAGTGTAGACTTTCTCTTAGCCAAATATAACCTCCAATCACTAAAAAATGGGCCATTGCCAAGAGGCACACACAGGTTAATTGTTTCTATAATATTATGGTAAGCCCAATTAAAAATATATTGAATTGTCCTAAAAAGAGTAACAGTGATGTTTTACTGAACAGTGAAACCAGTGAAAATGAAAATTGGGGAAATGGCCTTATGACTGAATCTGCACATAACTGCACCATATTCCAAGAGGCTGTATTATGGCAGCTACATTCAACTCAATGGCTACTGGGTTATGCCAAAAGTTTTTTTGTCCAACTCATTAGTTACATCTATATGAACTGGGTGATTCCATCATGCCTTAGGATTTGGATGACATCAGGGTGCTAATAATGCTTAGCTGTTATTTTTCCCTGATGCCAGAATCAGGTAGAACTGTACAGATGCTGGGACAATGTCTAGAGACCACAAGAAGTCTACAGAATTATCACAGAATGGACAGCTAGGTTGTTGGAAGAAATATGATTTAGGAATTATATTATACTGGTTTTAAAGAAGTAATATTGATAGGCAACGTGTATTCAATCCAAAATCAAGATGTTGGTAATAATGCTCAAATCTGTAATGCTATGAAGCTTTGGTATCTGATGAAGTATTAGATTCTGTATGCACTTGATTTATTAAGCTCTAAATGGTTTTGCTCTGTTTATCGTTGGGTGCAGTACAATGTGTGAAGTTCTGGCTGTGGCACTCCAATTATGGAATGTAATTCCCCTTTCCAGAATTTAAGTCACTGCCAACACTTCTTTTGTTCTGAAGTCAAATGAAGATCATATGATACTAATCTAAGGTTTTGTATTTAAGATCAGCTCCATTTATAATCTGGTTTATTGTCTTTTTGTTTTGTTCTATCTGAAGTCCACTAATATAAGGCACTTATATTCACATAAATATATATAATACATAAATATAGGGCCTGAAAGTATCTGAAGAAATACTAATTACAGGCAGAAAAACATCCATGCTTGATCATGTACAAAATCAATATACTGTTTTCCCCCTATCTTCTGCCCATCCAGTCTGCAATAATATAAAATACAATGCCAAAATAATTATTTGGCTCTGATCTTTCACCTCTAATACTATTGTTATTATTATGCTACTCTCTCTTATGCACATAGTCTTCTTTTGTTCTCACAGTTCTTATGGCAAAAGCATTCACTGTTTACTAAAACTAATTCCCATTCAAAGCTTTATTTTGTTGGCCAGTGATTGCAATAAAGACTTGATTTGTTTTCACATGTCAGGTATGTGTTATTTAACAAAGAATTAAATTACAATTAAACTATTTACTTACTCAAAGTCTCCATCCTGGTACTTTCCAAATGCCTGAAGAACAACTGTAATAATTGCCATGAGGGGCTTTACCACACAGAATTGCAGTGTGGCCTGGAGAAAAGGAAAACAGAAAGGCAGACAAAAATGAGGATAAGAATATACAGAGGTAGACTTCTTTAATCTTCTCCTTTATGCGTAATTCCCAATATTGTTGTCAAGGTTGACGCGCAAAACACTTCTTTCTGCTTGTAGCTTGAAATATGGAAGGGGGGAGGGGTATGATTGGAATGTGTGGGAAGTTGGGAGGGAGAGAAGGAATTTAAGTTAGCCATTTGCAGCTTGACAAAATTGTACAACCCCAAGGTTATGAGCTGAAGACTTTTGAAAGGTGCAGACTGTTTTCCCAAAATAAAATGCTTGACCTGGATTGGTGGACAATGAACACTGGGCAGCGGGAAATCATAATGCTGCGCTTTGCACCAAAACTTTAGAACTGGCTTTTCTTCTTCTGTGCCTGTATGGATCTATCAGTAAAGTTTTACTCTTGGTAATAAAAATGTCCCAGGAGTTTGCTGTGCATGCCAGAGGGACAGTTGACCATTGCTCACCAGCAGGATTGGGAATTGTGAAACTGTTGTCCCAATGCATCTCAATCATCCAAACCTGGGTTCTTTAACTCTGATCACCTACTTTCTTTCATTCTTCTGTTTAAGCAGATGGTTTGAATACTAATTAACTGTACTTAAGGTAAAAAAAAATATGGCTGATGTGACTTCTCTGACTTAAATTCTATAAGACAGAGTCAGACTTTGCTCTATACTTGATTCCCAAAGTGGAAAAGCGTCCATCTTGGAGGAACAGAACTATAGGTTATGAGGCAGTTCAAGAAATGTAGCACATATACAAGTTATTCGAAGCTGAGTTCAATTTAAAGGCAAATTTTGTGAATAAAGTACACAAAAAACTTCCTTGAATTCAAAGAACCTTTGCCTACACAAAAAATTAGATACTTCACAGCAATCTAGACTCTCAGATCATTATTTTACAAACATAGATTAATACAAATAAAATTAATACAGTACTTAAAAATAGCAGACCGAAATTCACATAGATCAAGGAAAAAACCCTGTCAGATTCATACATAACTTCATACTCCTGTACTATTTATTGGCAGATACATAAACCTAGCAATAGGCAGATCATATACTATATAGATTTTATTGGATTTCTTGTATTTGTTTCTTTTGTTAAGATTTTTTTAAAAAAAAATTAAAATTGCTAACGATCATTATTGTCAAGGGTGTTCTAACCCTCATTTATTTATTAAATTTGTTTTCCACTGCTTATTAAAATAAAGCAGTGATTTTGTTTATTGTTGGAAGGGAGGGAACAATACTAGCGAATATTGGTCTAAGTGACTGCCTAAATAGCACTTTAGAAATGTTTTAGCTATGTACCATGCTATCTTAGACTAGGGTACTAGATCTTTGAGAAGCCTGTGAAATGATTCAAGTATGGGAAATGTTAGCTATATGTCTTGGATGCAGCTGAATGTAAACTAGACCTAACAATCACAGAGGAATTCAAAAATGAGTAGGACTATCATATCTAGGCTGCAAAACACAGGCAACCTCTCAATGGTATCTCAGAGATACAGAAATGTTTACTTTATCTCAGAGATACAGAAATGTTTGCCATTTTATGTCATCCTGATGTTTTGCAGCCCAGATATAATCTACCTAGTGAAACTGTAAGATAGTTTCAAAGGAGATACTTTTTATAATATACACACTAGAAGCTGCCTATTCAGTCAGACAGAAAAGAAAGTCAAAAAAAAGGTTTGTTTTTGATAATTCTTGAATGATGATCATAAGACTTGACGAGATTAAAATTTAAGCACAATCCAAACAGTGAGTCATAATCAACTTGTGAACTGGAACATGTCAAGCTAATTGTTAAACTGTGCATTTGAGCTTCTTCTTCTTCAGTCTGGGTGCTGTTTAATCATTTTCCTGTAGTCCAATACCACAAGTGTTTATTTTTAAGCACTTCCTCGTGAAAAAAGTATTAAGACATAGTGGAAGAACAAGTGGAAGCAAATGACCTACACAACTACCCAGTCATCAGGCAGATGTCTGAGAAAGTGACAAATCAAAGCCTATGATGGCTCTTCAGAATCTCTTCACCTATCACTTTCTGAGACCTAAGAATGCCATTTTTGCCCGAGGCAAACAGAATGTCAGGAGAAAGCATACAGCAGCTCCTTGTTCCTAGAAATGAATGGATTGATGATCCAGTCAAACCTGTAGTTTCAACCGTTGTTTTCAAAGAAACTCTTTGTTATCCATGTAAGCAATGTACATAATTTCTTCAAGCCAAACTTTTGAGTTGTAAACAAAAATTAAAGGATCACAGCCTTTTCGTTATGACCTGTCTTCTTACGCATATACTGTTCAGCATACATAAACATTAAACATGTTCATTTTAGTATTCACAAATTACTACTTAAACTATTAAATTCTTCAACAATTTGTCAGTAGTAGGTAGATGTGAAAGAAGAGCGAACTCAAAATAATTACAGCAGTAAAAGCAATAAGCCATACTAAAAGTTATGCATGGTTAAATCATACAATGTTTCTATGTTCCCATGAAATGGATATGACTGTCGAATATCAATTGGTTAAAATGAACAATTACTTCAGAACAACCATCCTGATATTCAGTTATCTTCCTGTTCCTGCACAAGTCTCCTTATTTTTTCAGTGAAGTAGCATGTCAGTTTCTTCTATTGCTGGAAGCTTCCAGAAGAGGTACAGCTAACTGAAGATGTCTCTGCAAAAGTGACACCAACAATTGCAGAAAAGTCCAAGGAAGTGGTGAATAGACCTGTTCATTGAAACATCTCCAGATAAGGAGACAACAGGAGGTCACCATATATGCTTTCACCCATGCAGAGATTTCAGGATGATTTTTTAATGGACTTGTGTGTCAGGAGATGGTGGGATTAGCCATCTTGCTCACAAGTCCAGCAGAGACTTTCAAAGGACACTAAGTTTGTAAACTTCATTTTCTAATCACTTTTAAAAATAACTGATTAACTACTTCTTAGTGACTTTCAGAATGAAAAGTTTGAAAATGTCAGGTGAGTTTATGTTTAATCCTGAATGAAAAAAACCTTTAATTATAGCCTTAAGAAATCAAAGAGTCTGAAATAAACAACAAAAACCTAAATTTGTATCTTAGAAATATATAAATGGACCAAGGGTCCAGATAAATTTGGAACATTTAAACTTTTACAAAATGATTTTGGAAATAATTATAAAGTACAAGCTGCTCCTCATGAGAAATATGTTGTTTTGTTTTGATTGTTTTGATTTTTATAAGATATAGGCATAGACAAACAATTTCATGATTTCAAAAACAGGAAGAGTCAAAAATGAGAAGAGTCTAAAGATTTCAGGTAGAGGAAAGATATATAGGCCTGAAATATTGTTATGAAGAGATTTCTGAAGAATGAAATCCAAAAATAGTAGCTGCAATATCAATAATGTCAATAATGATGTCTCTTCTATGGGTGGATTATGTCCAAAAATATTATTGAAGAAACGTCAGATGTAAAACAAATTTTATCTGACAAAACAAGAGATGGTATCAATACTGGATGACAGGCAAAGAAAATTATTTAGAAAAGGATGTTTCATGGGACATACAAAAGAAACTAAAAAATTATGTGCAATGGGATAAATAAGAAATGAAAAGGAATCAAATCCTACAATAAAGTTTGAATTAAAGATTAAGACTGCTAAAAGCAAAAGAAACAGAATGTTGCTTTGTTGATCAAAAAATAAGATATGCTGTTACTTCTGGCTATTTTTTTGGACTTTCTGCTGACACCAATACTGAAGGTGATAAATATTTATAACTTTAGAGAAGGCAAAAAGTTACTAAGTTACTAATTTGTTATACATTTGTTGTTATTGGAAATCACTTCTCTTATTTTCTTAGTTATATTCTTATTTTCCCCTTTCTTCTCCCACTCTTTTTCTCTTTCCTTGCACTTTCTATTTTCTTGTCTTTAAGTCTAGTTTGGATTAGTTTTTATTACTATAATAAATTTTTAAATAAAATTATATACCAAAAAGTTTCTTCAATTGCAAGGCTCTTGGCTGAAAACTGAAGTGACAAATCATGTTAGTGCAGCTAGTGAATTTCAATTCATAATTTTCTGTTCCATAACTTGCACTTCATTGCCACAAACTCATGGCTTAAACGGGAACTTAATAATTTTGTTTTTTTCCTAGTTCTAATTTTTAAAGTTATCACAAACAGAGGACTAAATTTCCATAACTACTTGTATGATTTGAAATTAAAATATTATGAGAAGAAGGAAAGAATTTCCTGGATACATCACTCATATCAATCAACACTGAAGTCAAACCTCAAGCAATGAGATAAATCTTGAAGAATCTCAAGAGTTCCCCCTTGAAATATGCCATGGATGAGAAAAGAAAAACACTGTGATAGTACTTGAGTTTTTCAGTTTGATACTGTTAATCCATACCTGTTTACAAAATCTCAGAAAACCAATCGAGTATGTCTTTCCCCATAAGCAACAAGTCCCATACATGCAGCTGGACCTAAAAGCAACAAAACAGTCTGTCAAATTAGAATAAAATAAATTTTTATGTGGAACTAGATTAATAAAAATAAATATATGTTTATGCATATAACAAAGGAATGACAATATGGTACCTCTTTTAAGTAAAATCAATCAAAGAAGCAAATAAATAAATAGGCACACAAATATTTCTTTCACTCATGCCAAATTAAATCTGGAAGATTCAATACTCCTTTCACTGCTCTAAGACAAAACTCTCACTAATTTTAACAGAGCTACACTACATTATTTGTATTTCCAAAGTATTGCAAATTCCACAAGTTCCCAATGTGGAACACATTAATTTCAATGTTAATTTGAAATAGGAACAGAGACAGAAATGGTGTTGGACAATGTGAATGCTTAAAATTAAATTCTGGATGGATTAAGAGCAAAAAGGCTCCTAACATTACAATCCAATCCAATTAATCAACCAGCTGAAAGCACCTCTTTCAAATCTCCTGCAGTCCTAAAATATATAAAATATGCATATGTATATATTTAGATACCAAATACTCACTCTATAGGCTTTCCTCTAATCTCAGACATGATGGAACTCTCTCCACCTAGGTACTCATAGCAGAGGCTAAGAAAGTTATAGATGACAAAAGCTGCAAAAAGGAAAGTGGGGGGCGGGGAGGAAGGAAGGAAAATAGAAAAACATAGATTAAACTAGTAAAATATCACTCACTGTAAGCAAAATATCACTGTAAGAATGAGTGTTTGAAAAATGCCCTCCATTTTTGCATGTGCTTGTCATTTTTAAAAATCTGTTGTTTTAATAATGGGATGTGCTCTTTTAAATGGCTCATTAAAAAAAAGTTTTAGAGATATGGTGGATGCTGCTAAACACTATAATACAAAAAGGCTATTATTGGCAGCTACAGCAAATAAATAGCTGAAGATAAAATTATTTGCTTGTTGCCAGAGCTAGCAGAGTAAACAGAAATAGTGGGGAGAAAGCAATAAGGAAATCTATACAGCATTTCATAATATATACATCCATGTATGTAATTATCATTAAATGAAATTAGAAAACAATCAATTAATGTTTCCACTAGACAAAATTTATCTCAAAATTATTCTGACTGAAGCACCTTGAGCAAGCAAGTCGGATTCTACAATGATCTCTATGTTCTCTAAAAAGAAATCCAGATCAGAATTTTAGATAATTGATAATTTACTATTCAAGCAAGGATGTACATAAAATTCACGATCCACCGTTATACTGTCAAACCAGCCATTTTGAAAGTAGTTATGAATTCTGAGCATTGATTTGTTCTTTTAGAAAGTGCTCTGCAACCAAAAGAAAAACTGCAGCATTCAATAAGTAACATGTTCAGATGTCTTTTTCACTGCAACATAAACATATTTTTAGAATCATAGTGCTCCCTAGTGTCTGTGACATTGTTAGTATGTTTAATGAAGAAGTGACTTAACAAGGTTTCTTATCCAAATACTAGTCAGCTATTACATGCTAAGCCTGTTCATAAAAATAAAAATCTACCCTTTAGGATAAAATAGCATATTTTAGCCTGATTATCACATTTGAACATTAACCCAGCATTTAAAGGTTCTTATAAAAAGAACAGTCTATGTTTCTGCCCACCTAGAATAATAGTAGTTTCTCAGAACTCATAATATAATTTGGTGAGTTCCTAATTCAAATCGGTCTCTCATCCAAAGCGAGCAGATGCCACCACCAGCCCATTGTAACAGTTTACGTGTCTATTTTCAAAAATTATTGAGAATATATACATGAGGCCTTTCAACAACTGAAATGTCACATACTCCTATCAACGGTATAATTAGCTTTAGTCTTAGTTAACTGAATAAACCATTATGAAATAATAAACTTCTAACAATATATGCTTATTTTAACACAGCATATCTTCTCAACAGAAAGAAAGTGTCATTCCTTTTTTGGACCCTATTTTATTTGTCCAGTATTTAAGCTATGGTATATTTTCCCAATTTATGTTTTGCCAATTTACTGACTTGCCAATGGATTGTTGCTGGATGTTTCAACTATCATATGACACACCGAATTGCAGATATGAGGGTCTTAATTCTTTTATCCTGTAATTATGGGCCTACTGTAGATGCCACTATGATTCAATTCCATATTATTTACATGCAACTGACATGACATGTGCAGGATGTTGGCTCTTATACACTTCCTTCTTTGATAAGAATAAATAGTAAGAATGACATGAAGGAAGGTAGGAATGAGTGCCTTCCTGAAAGTATTTGGGTGACTATCAGAGGAAAACTAAATGACATTGCCATAGGCATGTGCTATAGAACACCCAACCAAGCAGAGGAAATAGATGGGACTCTTTGCTAATCAGTTAGCCAAGGTGTGCAAAAAACACACTATAGTAATGAGAAGTTAATTATCTTTACATCAACTTGGAAAAAAACTCTGCAGTGAGTAGATCAAACAGATTTCTTCTTATGAGCCTAGCTGACAACTATGTCACCTGAAAGGTGGAGGTGGAAACTAGACTAGAGGATCAGCTATACTGGATTTAATCCTAAACTAATAGGGATGGAATGATTGAAGGAGTGGAAGTTGTAGGAATTTCGGGGAAGAATGAATGTAGGAGATAACTGGGCTGAGCCTGAGGGAGGGGTCAAATGCGTCCTCAATCATGAGTCCCTTTGTGCCCACCTTCAACCCACTTTGAATTTCATTAACTTTTATCTACTGCCAACTCGCTTTGATAGGTAGTACTTCAGATTCTTATGGAAGCTTCAGTGTACAATAAACCTATATTTTCATTTGAAACTGCCTGGATTCCTGATATCCTGCGTTTGACAGTGACCAGGTTATACTAGAATGTGCCACAATATAGGCATGGATGACTGAACAAAATCAGACCTGTGTTTTAGACATTAAAAGAGCTGACTTCAACAAACTAAGGAAGAGATTAGGAAGGATTCCATGGGTGGAAATCCTAGAAGAAAAAACAGTTCAGAATGCATGGGAAACTCTGAAAACTGAAAATACGAAAAGCCCAAAAGAAAAACAAAAGATGCTAGATGAGACCAGCATGGTTGCACAAAGAGCTCTCTGACAAACTGAGTCAAAGGAAGGACGGGTATAAAAAATGGAAAGAGTGACACATAACTAAAACAAAATTAATAGGTCAAATCTATAAGGATGAAGTCAGGAGGACTGAGGCTCTGAATGAACTAAATCTTGCAGGGAAAAAAATGCCAAAGGTAACAAAAACAATTTATTTCAATATGTAAGGAACAAGAAGAAAAGTCAAGAAGAAAAGTCAGTCCACTAATGGGAGAAGATGGTAAGAAGGTGACTGGCTGCAGGGAGAAAGTGCATCAGCTTAATTCCTTCTTTTCACCAACTTTTACGCAAAAGGGGGAAATAGCCCAACTTATCAATAGTAGTACTGTGGCAGACAGAAGAGGGATGCAGGTCAAAGTAGGTAAGAAATCATGATGTCCAGGAGGCAATCGCCTTTATCCTCCTAGAAAGTAGAGATTATTTACAATAATTTCTTTCTTTCTTTCTTTCTTTCTTTCTTTCTTTCTTTCTTTCTTTCTTTCTTTCTTTCTTTCTTTCTTTCTTTCTTTCTTTCTTTCTTTATAAATAACAAACAATGTAAAAGCAGTAGTCTATCACAAGATGTTTTCAACAGGATAGAACAGTCTTATGTCCATTTCACTCAGGAAGGAATTAACTTCCAAGAAGATATATATAAGATTGCATGGAAATATCTGCAAATAGTTTGGCCACAATGTTTTGATTATCAAATATGCTTATTATTTACAATTTAAAATTCTAGAACTAATGTTTGTCATCAGACCATGTTAAGAAATTTAAGAAACAAACAAAAAGGTGATGTGGGGAAGGTGGAAGGAAGAATGGAATACATTTGGTTCGCATATAACACAATGTGTTCATTAACATTTGCATAAGGCAGTCTTTCCCTAGCAAAAAAAAAAATCTCCCTTAAAATGAAGGCAGATTCTTCTCCTTGTCTGCTCTTGCTTTTTCTAGAAATAGTTCTAAACAGTTCATGAGCAGAAACACAGAAAATGAGGGGAAATAAAACACCATTAATACACAGGATATTGAACTGGACAAAGTGGCAAATTTTAGAATGTGAGCTGACCCTCCAAGCAGATGTTATGATGTTTGCAATCTCCCTAAGTGAAGCAAAGGGAATAACAGCTGTTGCTAGGAGATGAGATCTACAGAACAACAGGCTTCTTCCTATGACTTTGTATTTATACATACACAGTAACAGATAGGAATGGGGACACTCAACCAAACAAAAATAATTTCTGACTGTGCAATTGCTTGATTTTTATCCTGTCTTTTTGCAGGAGGCTTAGGACAGCTTACCAAAAAAATCCTGTATTTATTTTATTTGAAAAACATAACACTGTGAAGTAGGTTGGACAGAAAATATGTCACTGGCTCAAAGTTACCAGGTGAGTATACAGTATATTTCTGCCACTGGGTATCATACTCCAATGAACTGTTATCTCTATGAAGGATTCCACATTTCTCTAAAAGAAAGAATTTGGGGATTTTCATAACCTCTTGTGAAACCCAAATGGTCCCAGTGGTCCAAGCAAAACAGCATACCCACAAACCCTGAAAATGAAGGAATATGGCATAACTAGAGAAAGGAGAAAACTGTACAAAATAAGCAGACTCTAAAGGTTCAAGCCATACTTCAGAAATCCAGATGAATGAATTGACTTCAAGTCCTGGAGGATTAGAAGCAAGGCTACAAAAATATTATTTTTAACTATCAGCAGATTTCAAGGGAGAATGTTTTATACTAGTGCTCTCATACCTTCACCACAGCTGGTGGGCAGATGTTTTACTCAGAAAACAAAAGTAAAAGTAATCATTTTCACAAAGGCCTTTCCTACTGTCATGTATTTCTGTACATTTCCATTCTTTGATATTTGACTGTATTCTGCTTGGGCCTCTCTTGAAGCTGGAAAGAATCTGCATAGTGTTATAAGAAACAAACCTCAAACTTGGGGATTGGTTCTTTGCAAATCCTTATGTTTGGGCCTAGCTCTGTGGATATCCTGGTTTAGCCACCTTCCAGTCATCCTCTTACTCTTAGTCACCTAAGGAGGGCATGACATCAATTCCCTTAAAGAGCTTGTCTCAGAACAAAAAAGATGTCATGCCAAAATGTTTTTAAGATAATCATGTTCTGGGAATGAGAATATCTATTCTCTTGAATTGTGTGATCAAACTAACCACAGCATAAAAAAAAAACCCAGAAGCGACATTTTTCTGCTGAAGATAACGAATACAAGTGCATTATTTTTAGATTGATGGTTTCTGTGTCACTTTCCTGCTCCAGGGGTAAAAGAAAGGCCCAACAGGATTCTTGGCCTAAAACTAATCAATAAAGAAGAGCTAGTTAAGGAAACTTGAGTTGGGTACACTCCAGGGAAAGTCATCATAGAATGATTTTGACTTTAAGAGAAACTAAAACTGACCACCATCTAATATGTATCTTGGTCTTCCAAAAAGTGAATTTTATTTAGTACTGAGAAATGAAAAGTAGGACCATATGATAGGAGAAGCTGGTGGGAAAAGGGTCCTACAATGGGTAGAAATTCCTAAAGAAAGAGGCATTAGAAACACAATTATAAATAACTCAAATAACAGAGGAGAACATGAAAAAGCTGGAATAGTTGTAGAAATGTTTGCGGCAGACTTGAAAGCAAAAAAACAAACAAAAAACCCCACAATCCACAAGAGACTGAAAAGAGGATGACATTTGTGTGGTCATAAAAGAAGATAGGAAACCTGGAATTGTAGAGCTGGAAAGAGAATGCTCATAATGAGCTCAGCTTAGCAAAGGAGGCAATGAATATAAAAAAGGTGAACATTTTTAGGTATGTTCAAAATAAAACAAAAATGAATTAGTATACTAGTTGCTTAATGATGCTGGCAAAAAGTTAAAGAAACGTAGAGCTTTTGGTTGCTATTTGGTTGTTTTCTACAAACAAATCATACATGCTCTACTATGATATTACAACAAAGAGAAAAGGCAGGCCTGAAGCTTGAGCTAATACAAACAAAGTCAGGAAATGTTTATTTATTTTCAATTACTTTAAATTTCCAGATCCTGGTTATTAGTTCCCTGAAATACGGAAAAAAAACTAACTGATGTCCTGGTTCAATGTTTTATATAAAGTGTTTTTGTCGCAATACTGAACTTAGAAAAAAAATATCCATCCTTAAAATGTATATAAATAATTGCAATTTTTGTCCTTTGACTACAGTGTTGCACATAGGGTGACCTTATAATTAAAAATATATATTTTAAGGCAAAAGCTTATTTGTAATCTTGCACATGCAGAACGTAACAAAACTAAACCACTGGTGTTTTGGGCCAGCTACTCCCTTTCAGCCCACCTAATTCACAGGGTTACTCTTGTGAAGAAACCTGGGAGCTGCTGAAATGAGCTTCTGAATGAATGGCAGGATGTAAACCAAATAAATAAATACAGTGTTAATGGAGAAAATGCTCATAACATCTGCAGATAGTGTACAATGTGATGGGATATCTAAAACCCTATTACTGTTGCCCTGTGAGTGAGTTGGCCTCTAAATTTGATAAATAAATAATTCATACATTCATTGGAGAAATGTCCTAAAAAGCACAAAATTTTGTAAAAATTTTCAGTTAGGAAACAAACATTAAATGTTTGGGTTATCTTGCTAATATTGGTACTTATGAAAAAGATTTTGGAATATAAGCCAGCAGTATGTTAAGATTACAAAGATGGAAAAAATTCACTTTTATACTGCATCAATATATTTTTAAATTAGAAAACAATTGTTTTCCTTGATTCTGCTCTAATTTGACCCATACTTTTAAATCTCTTTGGAACAAATTCTTAGAAATGCAGTGAGAATGACTGGGGACTAGAGCTAGGGTCCACAAAGAGAACTGGAAAGAGTTGGATAGTTTTAGTTTCAAGAAAAGATGATTAAAGGAGTATGATCGCATTCTTCGAGTACTTAAAAGAACGTTACATACAAGACCATTCATTCAATGATAATTCAAAATTACAGTGGCGCTGAATGAAGAGACTTATAACTGTGCCCAAAGTTATTGCTGTTGCAGCGCCCTCAGTTATGTGATTGTGATCGAAATGCTTGGCAACTATTTTGCATTTACAATGGATTGCCAAGTACCCCACAATCATGTAATTGCCATTTGAAATCTTACCTGATGGCTTCCCCCAAAAGTCAATGGGGAAGCTAGCAGGGAAGTCCCAAGTTGCTACTGCCTGCTGACAGGACTCCAGGGGTGGGATTCTACCAGCTCGGACCAGTTCTATAGAATCGATTATGATTCTGTGCAGTTCGGAGAACTGTCAAATTCTCCGAATTTGGAATGATTTTGACTTTAAGATTTTGACTTTTAGCTGTGCTGCATGACAAATTGTGCCACTGGCTGGCCCCACCCTGCCCCATCACTCCTTATCTCACATGCACACCATCCAACTTGCCTGCGTTGTGCCTTGGCCTAATTTTTGGTAAGTTGCTATTTTTCCTTTTTCCCCCGATGATCAGATGTTCCAACGATTAGCTGTGCTGCATGATTTAGATTAGCTAGAAAGCAGGAAATTGTCGGATTTCTTGCTTTCTAACTAATCTAAATCGCTGTTTTACTGCTTCACCTTCACACAGGAGGCTTCCCTTAGGCCCAGTCAGAGATGGTATTTAGGGGGTTGGGGGGGCGGGGGGGGGGCAGAAAAGTGGCCTGAGAGCAGAGTTCAGAAAACTTCCTTAGGACTGAAGCTTCTATTTTTCAGTGCAGATTCAGGGAGCAGATTGCAGAAAGGTAGATCTGTGAGTGACTGTGATTCTGTGAGCAACTCAATCTGCCTGCCTGCTTTGCCTGATTTTGGGTAAAAGTTGTTCTTTTTCATAAAACAAAAACCAATATTTACATACAAGCCATGCCCACCCAGTCACATGACCACCAACCACACACACACAAGTTAGGCCATGCCCACAGAACCAGTTGTTAAGAAATTTGAATCCCACTCCTGGAGAAGAACTCCCTCTGATTTCTGAGGACTGGTTGGAAAAGGTCTGTGTTGAAAACCAAGCAGAATTTTGACACAAACTGTTTGTAGCATAGTGTTTGCAGCCAGACCCCAGAGACAACAGGACTCTTTTTAGTTTCTACAGGCTAGCTGAAAAAAGTTCATCCTGAAATCCAAGCAGGATTTTGGCAAGAAATGTTTGCTGCATGGGGTGTTTGCAGACAGACCCCAGAAACAAGTGCCTTTCAGCTGCATGTACAATGGGGTTCTGTCCTGCACCCAGAGAATCTAGAATACCTGTCAGTTTATATGTAGCTTCCTTTTCTACATAATAAGCAATATTTACTTACATCTCTTTGTCTCTATTGTACAATACCACAAACTTTATCTGTAAAAAAAGACCTTTTCACCCAATATCCCAATTGGCTACTTCAGATAACTTCAACTTTGGAACCCAGAAATGAATTGTCAGTAAGCAATATACTGAGGGAGGGATTATGGATGTCTTATTATCTTGGTCAGAAACTGCATGTATTTTCACAGAATCAAATGTAAGAGAAACAACGTCATATCATTTTTAATATGGTTACCATCCTTTCCTTTTCCCCACTTCCCAAGCTTTCAAACACCTTACCTTCATAACAATCCCGTATTGTCCCAAAGTAAACATAGTACTGGTCATTGGTGAAGAAAAGGAGACTGAGCCATGAGTCAACAGCATAAATGGGAACAATGAAAAGAATCCTGACAATATAGCGTTGCTCATTGGGGCAACTGTAGCAGCGAAGGTGCATGTAGATCTAAATAAGAGAAAATGGAAGCTGTGATCAGAAACCAATCATGAAGTAAAGAAAACCAATGCAAAACTCAAACAACTGGACACCCCAAACTAGAGTATTTTTCCCTAGCTTTCTTATATTGAATGATAATATGTGTTCACTGGAAGTTGTGTCTTTATTGATTATAGTTAGATTCTCCTTTTTCTCCAGGAACTGAACTTGATATAGATCATATTACCCTTCTAATGTTATTCTAGAAAATAACCCGTGAGATTGACTTACAAAACTAATTAGTAAACATACAACATGCTCCAAAATCATTTCAATTATATTTTCCATAATACCTTTAATCTAATAAAAAAGCAATTATCCTGCAGTTCATATAAGATGAAGATGTAATTGTTTTCAGTGAAATTCCAATGATATCACAAAACATGTTACAAAAGCAACACTGGGAATTATAATGACATTCTTTTCTATTGGGGTTAATTTTAATTTCAAAGTATACCCTCTCATGCTTGTATTTTGATCTAACAGGGTGCAATCTATGATTAGTCACAAAATTCTGTCTTCTAGTAAAAGATAAAGATAGGAAAGCCAAACAGCTTCACTATCAGACTAATTAAATACAGCTTATAACCTGATCAGTCACCTATCTAAAACACAATTTCAATATAGTACTAAAAAACAGTTTCAATATAGTACTAAAACACAAATGCACATTACATACAGCAGATTATCCCCATCTTTGTGTTGTGGCAATGCATTTTATCATGTGATTACTATTATAATTCTATTGTATTTTTGAAAACCAGAAGCAGGAAACACTATTGAACACATTTAAATTTGCAACAGGCATTAATGTACATCATGCTTTCAAAAGCCAAAAAGTTCAATTTTTACAATAATTTAAAAAATATATAATAAATAATTCTGAAATAGGCTTTTTCCAGGCTAAATGTTTTTCTAGATAGCAAAATACCAAGTATTTCAATACAGGAACCACTGAAAAAAGAAAAAGAGGTTTCTTTGTACACAAACAAGTTGATCTGAATCATTCTGTGAAACTTCATGTTACATTCCATTAAAAGTACAAAACTAGTTTGAGGGTGAAATTGGTCATTGGGAGCATGTCGTGTTTCATATTCAAAATAGGAACGTGTTCAAGATGAAATGTTCCATTATTGCTTCAAACAGTTCAAATCAAACCTTTGATATAACCTTTTAATTAGAATATAGTTAATATAACAATACCATGCAAAATAACTGCATAGGAAATTTGTTTTGGTTGATTAAAAGTTTCATCTTGTTTTCATGGATAGCCAACAAAATACTTTGGAAGACTTACAAACTGGAAGCAAATAGTTTTTTTGTTTATTCCTAGCATCTGGCAATTAGAAAATACAACACTCATTTAACTATAAAATCACATCTGTAATCTATAGACAATCCATGGATGTCTTTAAAAACTGTTAGATCAGTACCCGTGACAATCTTTTGTACCAATTCTAGAACAGTAAATAGATAATGGAACATGAATTCTCCTTTCCTGTACTCTAGAATTAAATTAAGAGTCATGTATACCTAATCCAAGGACCAGGTCACATTTTGAAGTAGAATTAACAAGATCAATTACTTCTGCCTCAATAAATGAAGATAAGAGTACTTTTTATTAATAAAAAGATGTGATGGAATTTAGTAAAGAGATGGATCCTCAGAAGTGAAGGAGTATATTCCAGGGGAGTAAATGGTAATTTTAGATATCATTCAGTAAGAGCCCCCTAATAGTTCACATATACATGTTCATGGTGAAGTCAGTCTGGCAAGTCTGGCAAGATGTTGTGTATAGGTGTGAAACAACAATTCATATTGGAAGAATTACCAAAGTTATTCTTGGTCTGGGGCAGTGACAGTAAACCACTTCTAAATCCTAATCCACTAACAGCATGCAGAAATTGTATAACTGATAGTCACTATCTAACAATTAAAAAGCGCTCAACAAGATTGATAAATGGCAGAGTCTACCTATGTAAGTATAATATTGCAAAAGAGAAAGTCGTATTTGTTTTGCAGTGGTATCTATAAAAGTCAGCAGCTAGACTAGTGGTATAAAGGCTAACGTGGGAGAAAAGTGGATTTATCTCTTCTTCTCACTGCAGTGAAATTAGTCATAAGGATGATGACAGATAGAATGGGAAGAAAGAATCAAACATTGCTATTTATTCCATGTACTAAGACCAACAGAGGTACAAAGCGGGAAGATAATGCCAAAGGGTTGTTAAACCTTATGAATCACAGCTTTTCATCATCTCATCTTCCCACCTATCCCTATATAATTAAATGTACAACATTCCTAAATTAGCCAAATATATTATCATGAGTGATGTGCTTTACTTATATACCACAAATGATGAAGAGTTCAAGAATAGAATAGACTCTTTTTTCTGCTATATATTCAAAATAGAATGTGATTAACATATACGTGTGTGTGTGTGTGTATTGAAAGTGGAAATTACAATTTCATTTTTTAATGTGTGCCAGTGTGTTCACAGAAAAAAGTGACAATAAAGGTCCTATCTTATCCTATCCCATCACACCCTACCTTATCTAAATGTCTCCTTATCTAAATGTCTCCAGGCCTAAAATGACCATTTGCCTCATTGTTTTAAAAACTAAAAGAGATATTTGATTTTCATAAATTTCACACTCCTCCACTTTTTCCTATAAATTACTATCTAGATTCCTTTTTTGAAAAGAAGGGGGCATAATAAATTAAAAAGCAAGTTGAAAAAAAATACACATACCAGTAGCTTCCTAGTCATTTCAATTTCCATTGGCATATCTGCAAAATTTTGAATCTTATTTCTCTTATACACTATTGATTTACATTTGTCTTTTTCAGTAACCTTGTTTTTAAGGAATTATCATCAATAATCATTTGTATTGCAACTAAAGGGGAAAAAAGCCCCATGCACTTTTTTTCGATTGTCCCAAAACAAGGTATCAAAACATGATCACATCTGTACATTAAGGAAAACAATGCTGGAGAAAGGACCAGTTTAAAAAAATTGGAGACTGAATGCATATCAGGTTTGTAGCCTCTCCACCTCTAAATTTAATGTTGCAGAAGGGTTACTATAAAATAAATTAAAAGTATGTATTTAAATTATGCATTCAATCAATAGAATACTCACAAAACTTGAACTAAAAATTATCCATATATCTCAGAGTAACCTCCTAGGTATAAAATCAAAATATAAACAGTTTTCATTTTAAAACATTGAAATTCTTCTTTAAAGAATCATACTTCCATTGGCAGAAAAAAGCTGTTTATTCAAAAAAACAAATTGTCCTACAATTATTGCCATGAGTTTATCAGTGCTCAAAGTCAAGTTATATCACTCTGAATTACAGTGACCTACTTTCTCTTAAAAGTGCAGAGGATTTGGAACGACATAGAAGCAGTAACCCTTCCATACTGCCAGGAAAGCTGTTCAACCAAAATATAATTCAAAATCCAAGTCATATAAAATATATGAAGCAATGCCTTTGCTCTAAATTGCAGATAGGACAGCTTGAAAAAAAATGCAAAACAAGAAAACACGGTAGAGGAAGAGAAGGAAAGAGAAACAGCATGCTTTGTAGCCCTTTGTTCTGACAAGAGATCTGTGAGTACAATAAAACCAGTCACTATGCAGTAAAATCTTGCTTAGAAGATTGATCTATCGGCTTCATCTTCCTTGTTGTAAAATGGAACCTGTTATCCGGAGAGTGGACATGGACCTTTAAAAATCCTGTCAGCCCAATGTAACAATTGGATAACACAGAACTGTGCTAACCACTAGGTAGATGGGCCTGCCTTAAATCCATACTGGCTACAAGGTGCCTTCTTGTGGACAGACCAACAGAGGCAACTAATGATTGGTATAGAGTCTCCCATTTTAGCAGGGGGTTGGACTAGAAGACCTCCAAGGTCCCTTCCAGCTCTATGCTGTATGTAAGAAATATGTAATTTCACACCCTCAGACTGTTTGCACACAGAAGTAGTCCTTGATTTATGATCAATCATTTAATGAGAGTTACAAAGTTATGATGGCCTTGGAAAAAGTGACTTTCAACCTATACTTGTATGTAGGATTGCTGCATCACTTCCCACGACTGAAATTTGGGCACTTGGCAACCATCTCACACTTAAAACTGCCTACAGTATCCAGTGATCACAATTTGCAAGCTTTTTGGCCTATTTCTGGCAAAATATGTCCATTGGGGAAGCCGATTCTTTTAATGACTATGATGAGTTGCTTAATGGCTGTTATAAAATTGTCATAAAATTGGGTCCAACTTGACTCACTATTACAACAACTTACAACACAAATTCTGGTCCCAATTGTGATTGTATGTACACAATGTAGTTGTAACCTGAAGTCATGTTACCAGGTACTCTGTTAATCCCTGGCCTCCATTTTTTATTTGGAGCTTAATGCAATTACATATATTGTACCCCCTTATAAAAGTCTCAGTTGAGGATTGCTTATATCAGGGGTATCAAACTGGCGGCCCACAGGCCGGATGCATTATGCACAGGCACGCCCACCCCAGCTCCACAAAGGGAAAAAATGTCACATGATGACAACATGACACTACGAGTTTGACACCCCTGACAATCCTGAACTAAAACTGTTGAGGATCAGCTTATACATACTGCAGGATATTACATCATGCAAAACAAAAGTGCTTATAGCTGAACGGAGACTGAGATATATTTATGGAATAACAACACCTTGGAAAACAAGCTCCTTCTCTCTAGATGAAGTTGATGGAGAGCAATTCAAAATGTTAACTTGTTTGTTTTACCTGGTGGCAGGTGATCAGCACAGCTGTCCACACAAAGAAACCTGAGATGGCCTGGGCAGCTGTTGTCATTAGGAATATTGGCTGCTCCACTGCAGTGAGGCTGCCATCCTCAGGCATCCTGGATAAATTAGGGGCTGTGGCAGGAGTGCTGGCAGGGAATTCTGACTCAGGCACTGACATGGCTCCAGTTACTACAATCATCATTTTTTTTTTTTTTGGTTGTTCAAACCTACAGGAAAATTAAAAGAGGAAAAAATCAGCAGAATGACTTGAAATAACATAAGACATAATCCAAAAATGCTAGGACAAAACTACATGCATTTTGGGGAGAAAATTGCTTTCAATGCTAAACATAGAGAGGAAATAATTGATACAACCCATTTATGCATTTATAATATATACAGCATGGTTATCCGTGAATTTAAAAAACACAGAAGAAAGAACAAAAGAAACTACACTGTAGAAATGTTACTGTAGTTACTGTATTTTCTTCAACAACATTGGCCTGTTGATTTTTATTCTGGACAAAATAATGTCAAAATCCTGAAATTATACTCTACAATACTGATAGTTCTTGACTTACAATCACAATTGGTCATGAAACTTCTGTCACTAAGTTCTGTGGTTGTTAAGTGAGTCACACCCAATTTTACAACCTTTTCTCCCCCACAACGATTAAACAAATCATTAAGAGAATCTTGCTTCTTCCATTGACTTGTTTGTCAGAAGCTAGTTGGGAAGGTCACAAATGACAATGACTTGCCGCCAGGATGCTCCAGCCATCATAAATACATGCTGGGTGCCAAGTGCCTGAATCCCATGACTGCAGAAATGCTGCAACAGTGCGAGGAGTGGTTGGAAATAACTCTTTTCATCACTGTCGTATCTTTAAACTCTCATCAAACAAATGGTTTCAGGAGCTACCTGTCTACTTATGATCATACTTGGTACACTAAGTGATGCAATCATTAAGTGAAACTTGCCCAATTTTATCACCTTTTTTTGCCGTGGTCATATCAAACAGCGGTTAAGCAATCTGAATCCCCCCCCCCGAGTGTGCTTGTGGGAAGCCCCCTGGGAATCTGCAAAGATGTGACTCCTGCAACTATTGTAATTACATACCAGTTTGCCAAGTGCTGAAATTTTAAGCACATGATTGTAGGACAATGTGAAGTTTGTAAAACAGTTGATAAAGGGAAAATATATGAATAATGGTGAAGTTAGTTTAGAACTATTTATTTTAGAACAGATATTGGAGGGCGTCTTCTTTGGAAAATATATTTTACTTTCACCTAAATGCAAAAAAACCCAAAATAAAACAGTCTTGCTGAATAAAGGAATCTTTCTGCTAATTTTCCTAAATGATGCTCTGAACTTTGTCCCAGAGTTGTACCTGGGCTTTCTTCACTGATCCTACATATGTCAAAGACAGAAAACCTGAATGGAATAGTAGTGCAAATTCTGACCTTTTTTTTTTTTTTGAGCTTTCAGTATTTAGTAACAGAAATCAGGAAAACAGAAATATTTTTTCTGTTTGTTACTAGGATATTTGTTACTAGGATCAAAGAAGCATTATAGGTAGTCCTCGACTTATAACCACAATTGAGCCTAAAATTTTTGTTACTAAGAGAGATGATTGTTAGAGTGAGTTTTGTTCCATTTTGCGACCTTTCTTGCCACAGTTGTTAAGTGAATCACTGCAGTTGTTAAATTAGTAATATGGTTAAGTGAATCTGGCTTCCCCATTGACTTTGGTTGTCAGAAGGTGGACAAAGGGAATCACATAACCCTGGGACATTACAACCATCATAAATAGAAAACAGTTAACATCCAAATTTTGATCACATGACCCTGGGGAGGCTGCAACAGTTGGGTAGAAAAACAACCATAAGTCACTGTTTTCAGTGTTGTAACTTCAGTCACTAAACAAATGATTATAAGTTGAGGACTACCTGTATAGAATTTCTATTGTTGTAGATGTAGTAGTTGTTTTTGAGTGAGTGGTGCTATGTAGTACTGAATAGCTAATAGAACTGACTTTTCTTCTCCATCTGGACAGGTAGGAGGTTTAAAGCTTCTAGTCTTGCTTGTATAACTGAAGACATAATAAATATCTTAAGCCCCACAAACTAACTACCACAACATGTTTTATTGTTGATAAATAATCTGTGTAACTAGAACTAGATAATTTGATTATTCAAAACAACCTTAGATGCAAATCCACTTAGTTGATCCATCTTAAAAATAACTGGATATTATTTTGAAGAATTAGGGGGCAAAACTATGCCCATTTCTATTCTAACTTGAACAGTTTATGAAAACAAATATCTCCTTGCAGCATTCAGTTTTTGTTTTGTTTCTTAATACTGTGAATATAGATTGCCATAATGATGCTAGGAAATAGACACACCCTACAGTAGCCTTTGTCTGATACATTCAAAGGAAAAGTAGTAAGTTGTAACTAGACTACTCCCTTTTGATTAATTTCCTGTCTCTTTTCAAAAAAAGAATGTCCTGACTATACCACATACATATATTTTACAAACCCCTCCCCAACACATGCACCAAAGGAAAATAGAAGTTAATAGAGGAGAAAAACTCTCTGGAAAAAGAATTTCTTGATAAAAAAGGCTTTCACTGTTCATCTGCATAACTTATTTAACATAGAAGGAAGATAAATAATGTAAAATAACTTGATCGCTTGCATATGGAACAGTGCAAGAAAGTTAAAAAAGAGAAATAACTAATATGGGTGGAACGGGCTAACTCTAATAAAAGAAAGTTAGACAGGTGTGAATGTGAGCAAATATAAGTTGAAAAGTAATGTCATATGTTTAAATTTTCAATATGTACAGTACTTAATTAAAGATCTTTATATATAAGATGAGCCTTCTATGCAAGAAAATATATGACTGCTGCAGAACATAATAGCTGGAAACATGCCTTAGAGCAGAGGTGTCAAACTCAAGCCCTAGGGGCCAGAACTGGCCTGCAGGGCTGCCCTGGAAATATAAAGGACCGGCTCGCAGTGCCTCTGCCAGCGAAAACAGAGTTCCATTTTTGGTGGCAGAGGATTGCAGGATGCCGTTGCAGCCAAAAATGGAGCTTGGGAGTGTGTTTTCACTGGCCAAGCGCTTGGGCCACCACAGGTGCCCCCAACACGAGTGATGTTGAGCTGGCCATGCCCACCCTGTCCCCCTGAGGTCAAACATAACCCTGATGTGGCCCTCAATGAAATTAAGTTTGACATCCCTGCCTTAGAGTATTTCAGGTAATCTCAATTTATGACTTATCACTTAACAACAGTTTGAACTTATGACGGCTTCAGAAAAGTGACAGCCTGTACTTGACTTGCACTTGTATTGCTGTCACACTACCAGTTAGCATTTACCACAGCTACAGCATCTTGTGGTCATGTGATCACAATTTAAAACCTTCCTAGTTGGCTTCCAACAAGTCAACTGAGGAAGCCAGGTTTGATGCAGTAAAAATGGTCATAAATCCAGCTCCAATCATGATGCCTTGCTTCACAACTTCATTTAGTGACTGATATTCTGGTCCCAATTGTGGTTGTAAATTGAGATTTACCTGTACAACTTCTGCAATTTCATATACAATAGTTTTCAACATAAATGCTCTTAATCTGCAAAATATGATCAAGGCTAAATGTTACTGTATAACATAACATGAGCAACAATATTAATATAGGGTATATGTTTAAAAGCATATTGTGCAGCAGATAGAATTTTAATTCACCCCTCCTCTATTTGTTTCCAGTAAATTGCATCCCACAGGGATGATTAAAATGATCACCATGCTGCATTACATGTTCAAGTCTTCATGTTCATACTCCCTGGACACAAACTAATCCATTGCCTTCTCATTCAGTATTTGCATTGACAAACAAAACTAACCTGCAGTGAATACTTTTGCTTGTTGCTAGTTTGTCTTTATTAAAAATGAAACTCCAAGTCAGAAAAGCTTGAGTCAAATTACATCAGACACTAATATTCTAATTAAAACATACAACTTTGATAAGTTGACAACATGAATGCAAAATGGCGTTATTCTTTCAGAAAGTAATCTGCCATGTATTGAAAATTGTGATTTGCAAGTTCCATCCCATCTTAAAGTTGCTTTGTTTTTTTTTAACCATTGTGAGTTGGTTTTTAAAAACACTCCCAAAGGATTAAACAGGATTAAGTATCTTGATAGAAATCTAAGTGTAATTCTAAATGTAATTTTTCAAGAACAAATTAGGTAGGTATAAAGTAATTTTAAATAAGTTAATGTATACTGTCTTCATTAGTTCATTATTGCCCTCTTTCGCCTTGGCATCTATGATAACTTGGCAGCAATTTTAAGGAATTGCTGCTGTTGATCATTAGAGTTTGTTTCTAAGATATAAAAAGTAATTGACCACTATATACAGTAACATACAATAATATCTATTTATTCTTTTCAGAAGACTGACTTACATTTAGCGGATAATGAAAATTAGAAAAAAATGAAGATAGGCTGCTGCGCTATGAAATACTGTGTACATAATACTTTACATAATCAATAGATTTCTACTTAGTAAGAATAATAGGCATTTCTGTATTTTGAAATATGGGGTTTTCAATTTAAAGTATGTCATGATTTCCATTGTCAAGCGACAGGAAATAATCAATAGCACTGAAACTGGATGAAAAAGGTAGGAGATTCAACTAGTGGAAAGACTGGAGGAAGAGATTTTCTAAATTAGCACGCTTAACTTATATAAACATTCTCCATTTTTTTAAAAAAATGATGACCCTTCAAATTTTAGTATTTGCATGCAAGTTCTCAGATGGAAAGAACAAAGTATGTCCTAGAAAAGTGTACATAATTAGTCAGGTAATCACACAAGCCATTGAGTAATGTGGCACTAAATGTGCCATTTCTCCTACAACCACTCCTATCAAAACTTATTTTTGTTTCACTGTGCACAGTACCCATATTTAACCCCACACAATGTACTTAAGAACCATGCTGCACCTACGGACAAACCATGGGGTTATCATTCTGTACTATAAATGTTTAAATTGCTTTAACTTCACTTGAAAAAAAGCTGAGCTGTCAATTTATATAGGTACAGGTAGTCCTCAACTTACAACAGTTCACTTAGTGATCTTCGAAGTTACAACAGCACTGAAAAGTGACTTATGACCATTTTTCACACTTACGACTGTTGCAGCATCCCCACGGTCACATGATTTACATTCAGATGCTTGGCACCTGACTCACATTTATGATGGTTATAGTGTGTGTGGGGAGGTGTCATGTGATCACCTTTTGACCAGCAGAATTAATGGGCAAACTAGATTCACTTAACAACCATGTTATTAATTTAACAACTGCAGTGATTCACTTAACAAATAGGCAAGCAAAGTCGAAAAATGGGACTTAACAAATTTCTCACTTAGCAACATAAACTCTGGGCTCAATTGTGGTTGTAAGTTGAGGACTACCTGTAAAACTCATACTCTTATTATCACAAATTGAGTCCAGATACTGTTGCTGATAGGCAACTCCAAACCCACTTTCAGTGGTGCCACGTTGATCTGCTTAGACCTCCTAGGCAGTGCCTACTCACCACCCACTGCTATTTCTACTGCCGCTCCACACAAGTGGGCAACACCAAAGCGTATCCCAGGACCTCCCATCCTCCTGCGCCATCAATCCCGGGCAGGAGTTTGCTGCCGTTCGCTTTTCCACATCTTTCTTACACTCAACTCACTCTGAGCATTATCGCGGCCGGATGCCCGTCAACACCGCTCCAAGTGCCAGGCAATAAACTCCTCACCCCACCCGGGGAAGTCAGGCCACCGCTCTCAGCCTTTGCCGCTATGCCCATCATCTCAGCACCGATCCCTCCTCCCCATCCCTCCACCTTCCCACTGTGCCCTCACCGCCACGAGGCACTGCCAAACACCAGCCGCCCTGCCGCCGCCGCTGCCGCCGCTCCCCTTCCCTTCTCTTGCTAGGGAACCCGACTCTCCGGGGCTCAAGGGAACGGGGAGAGGGAAAGGCCCTCAGGACCCCATGGCCGGGCCGAGGCTTCCCCGGTCAACTCCCTGGTTTAGCAGCTCTTCTCCGTCCCGTCGCGGAGCCACTCGTAAATCCTCCACTGGGGCTCACCGACGCGGCCCTAACGGGCTTGGAAGAAGAAAGGGGGAGGGTGGAAGAACGAGAAATTGTACAGACGAAGCCGAGAAATTCTACTGCGCAGGCGCAACGCCTCTGGCTGCCCTTTTCGAGCACCTCCTCGCTCACTGCTCCCCTCCCGCCTGAGAGGGAGAGGGAGGAGCCACAAGCGGGTGACATAACCAGTGGCCTCTCAGGAGGTGGCGCCGTCTTCTCCTCTTTTCCTAGCCTCGCTTCCCATTTCCCACCCGCCTTCGGAGAGACGTTCTCCGATGGGCCTCAGAGCGGGGGACGTGGCGTCGTGTTTTTCTCGCTCTCCATCTTTCAACAGTTAATGTTCTTGGAGCGAAAGTCCAAGAACAGTTTCAATTATTTAACATCCGTTTCAATTTGTACTTCAAAATATAAACATATGAAAGAAGAGCTTCTCATTGGATCTTTAGGTTGCAGGCAGTCTGGTAATAGAGCGTGAGATTAAGTTAGATCTAATTTCTTTAGATTTTAATGATCACCAACTGCTTTATGTAATCTGCAAGCCCAACCAAAGAATCCTGGGGTACTACAAATTTGTTGTCCACTTTGTAACATTTTGGAGAAATTCTAGAATTGGGGAAAGTTTTCTTGTTGGCCAGTGAAGTTAATATGTGTGCTTTCTTTGAGTCGTGTAGTTAGATATTTTTTGGTTGATAGATACAGTATGGTAAAGATAAACTAGGGATATGCATCTAGAGTAGGGATTCCAAAACATTTTGTTTTCACACTTCCTTTTGGTGTAATCTTAATATATACACATGTCCCTTAAAAACCCAAACACCACCATCAACAAAAATAAATAATGAAAGCATTGCTCTACAATGAAATTGTTTAGGAATCTCTAATCTAGAAAGTTTTGGTTAAGCTTGGTAAACCAGATTTGAAAGTGGAAACTGGAAAGGAAAAAAAAACATTGTTTAATGAATAAAATATTGCAGTTTTTCACTTAATTCACTATTCCTATTGTTGATTGATAATATGAATAAAATATTTCTTGGTGATCTTGTTGCAAGACGACACTAGGGGATGCTCTTGAAGCCAGAGAGAAAGAAATATCTGAGGCAAGGATTTGAGAAAAAAATATGTTAATATGAATGTGATGGCACCTTCTTTCTTTCCCTCTCACACATCCTCAAGTATAAGCACAAACATAAGTATGCGGATACACATTGCACTACCCTTTTGCTCTATTTATTTAAAGCCTTTGCCCTTCTCAAAATTGATATCTTTACTCCAAATGTTTGCCTGTTTTTTGAAGTCCAGATATGCTGGACCAACTTCCTTTATATATTTGAAAATAGAGATAGACAATAGATAAATGATGATAAATAGATAAACAGATAGATTAGACAGACAGACAGAAAAAGCTTTCATTTAGCATTAAACACTATAGCATATCTTTATACCTTGAGTCTATTGAATCACAAGGCTAATGTCGAGATAAATGAGAAGAGAATTTTCATCCAAAAAGATGGTTCCCTTGAGTCCAGGTATCAATCAAGGGACTTGAGAACAAGGCATGTATATATCCAAAGAATGGAAGAAAAGTAACTTCTAATCTCAAATGGGTCATCCATTTCTGTGGCAATAGCTTTGCTATCTTCTCTGGATCATGCAGCATCCTGAAAGAAAGTATAATGGGTTGTCATTTTGCCCCATCATTCTTGGGAACTATACATTTGACATCCAGATTATATCCTCTACATCCCACAGTAGCAATTTTTCAACTGCTATCACAGCTGAGCACCCATCATAACAGAATTAGCTTTTGATTATATGATGGCAAGATAACATGAATATACCATCCTTGAAGTAAATCTAAATTTAGCTTCACATGTGATCCCTGCATCTTACATACTTCAGAATATCTGTTAAGATCCATGGGGATTTATTTCTTAGAATTAAATCCTGCTTTTTCATTTACTAGCTCAAAGCAGTATCTATAGTATTCCATCCTCGTTCCCTACAGTTTGTGTGAGATTGGTTGAAAGAGTAACTAAAATCACTCCTGGAGTTTTCACAGTGGAAACTGGAGTACCAGCCCAACACTTGGTTTGCTAATACCACATTGACTTTCATGGCATGTGTTGATGGATAATGCCTCTGCTCTGCCTACTGAAGGTGCTGTGGCAGATGCCATTCCAAAGCAAATCCCACCCCCAATCTTTAGGCTAATAGTGCCATCTGTCAGAAGACACAAGGCTTTCTATTCATATTTGGCAGAGTCTATTTAGGAGAACCTCTCACACATGCTATCTAGGAGTAGGACTGTGGGTCTCCTGACCTATTTTATGAGGCTTCCCAATTCAGTGTCTCCTGGATGCCAGGGATGAGCTTATAATCATTGATGTATATTTCTGTTTTTACTCCCCCACCCATCAGTTACTCCAGGATCCATGAAGCTTGTAGTTTGTAATCCTTTTGGCCAGTGGTGGGATTCAAAAATTTTTACTACTGGTTCTGTGGGCGTGGCTTGGTGGGCGTGGCAGGGGAAGGATACTGTAAAATCTCCCCTCAAAGGTGGTATTTGCCGGTTCTCCAAACTACTCAAAATTTCCTCTACCAGTTCTCCAGAACTGGTCAGAACCTGCTGAATATCACCTCTACTTTTGACCCTCTTTAAAATCTTTGTTCTCTTTCAAGGAGTGTCTGTTTTCCAAAGACCTTTTTTTTTTATAGTTGCCTTACACTCAGGGTACTCAAGGAGAAGTTGCTGCTGGGAGAGGATTAGGGATTTAAATGGCAGAGGCTGAGTAATTTTTTAGAAGGGAAGATAATCAAAGTCACAGAGGAAATTGTGTGTGTGTGTAAATATTTGTGTTGCTGCTTGAAGCATGCTGGTCCTTGGTTTTTTGTTCTTGTTTTTTGCTTTCCTTCTCTCCTTTTGTTTCTATGTTTCCTGTACAGATATGTGCTTCCTCTCCAACCAATGGGGAAGGAATTGGTGATATCATAAAGCTTTGCCAGCAGCTCTGCAGTAGTAACTAAGTTCCCCAGCCTCTGAGAAACTTCCTACTGAATTCCAATTCCAAAGTCAAATTATATACTTCTAAACTAATCCTAACGCCATTTATATTTTACACAGCAAGTAAAGGCTGTATTTGTGCAGAATTGCTGGTGCTGTAGAAAATTAGCACCCACCCCCTCCTAGAAAAATGAAATATTCTAAGAAATATTAAAAAGGCAGAATATTATACCTTCCTGGATGAGAAAAGGAGAAATATGCTCTTGGAAAGTGGCTCCCACCTTTGTTAATAGTTCCAGAAAGACAAAATACATCTTATCTACAACCCAAAAGACCTTCAGCTCCAGTGTGATGGGATTAAGACATGGCCCTAGGACATGATAGGATTAGCCCTCTACCCATCTCACCACATGGCACATGGGAAGATTACATCACCCAGCAAGATTCAACCAGACTTGGGACTCAAGAAGACAACCTACAAAGTTACCCCTGCATGGCCCCATGGGAGTCTGACAACCAATCAGGATACATTTCTTGCCACAAGAACAGGAAGCAAGTTCAAAGCCCAACAGAGGTTATAAATCTCGGTCCCTCTCTCACCCGTGTACTTTTTTTGCCCAGGACCAATGTGGTCCTGTCCACCATTAAACCATCTTTCCAAGCAGTCATCATGTTTCCAGTTCACTTGGAATTGAACCCAGATGGACAATTCTTCCAACAGTACAACAGATTTTTCTTCCTGGAAAACCCAGTTTCAGAGATCTGCTGCCTGCTTTATACTGCAGCACATGTCACTCATTCCCAAACCAGAGTATTTTCTACTGGCTAATGAATATGAACCAGGATTTTAGCTCCTCTTCTTTCTGGTCTTGTTTTTCCTATCAAATATTTTGTCATATCGTTAATAATTTCTCATGGGAATCTCAGTTCCATCCTTCCCTTATTATAGAATGTGTGCACTCTTACTGAGTGATGTAGCTAGATAATTTTCAGTTCTGGATATAGTACAGTAAAGACAAAAATCTAGAAATATTGTTTATCTGGGGCTGCAAAATGTTTTGATAGCATAATTTTATCATTTTTTATTTTATTTATATTCCACTTTTAGTATTTTTATAAATAACTAAGACAGTGAACATATCTAACACATCTTCCTCTTCCTGTTTTTCCCAAAAGAACTATCCTGTATGGTGAGTTGGGCTGAAAGAGAATGACTGTCCCAAAGTCACCTGGCCAGTTTTCATGGCTACACTGAGACTAGAACTCACAGTCTTTTGTTTTCCAGCCTGATGCCTTAACCACTAGATCAAACTGGCTCTTGTAGTCTTTACTGTAATCTTAATGTATACACATCTCCCTTAAAAATCCAAACACTATGTAAAAAAAAATTCCCTTGTTACTCTTATTTTATTCAGATTTTCCTCTGAACCATTTCTCCTTTGATTGCTGTCACAATCTTGGAGTTATCCTATTTAATTAGCTCTTAATCTTGCCATTTCATTGGTCCTTCTGTTTATTAACTGACCAGTTTTTCCATATATAGTAGTTAGTTTTTGAATCAATTGTCAACTGACTGAAAGTTTTAAGTGCTCTGAATTAGTATATAAGGATAAGTACCTTCACCATATCCAGCATACTCTGTCCCCAGCATAAACTCTTGCATTTAAATGACATTTGCATTTATTATTAAACAATATTATCAGATGATTTGCCCCCCTCCCCCCCAAAAATTATGGTTTAACTCTGGCAAGTACCTGGACAGGTCTACTGACCATTTTGGAAGTAGTTTGCCATTGCCTATGTCAAGCACAGAAAATCAGGAGTCCAGGCACTTCAAATGAATATAGAGTTAAAGACATTAAGTTTGTCAGCTGGAAAGCTAACAACCCGGGTTCAAGGCTGAAGCATTGCATAATGGGGTGAGCTCCCATTATGTGCTGCAGTTCTTGCCAATCTAGCTTTTTGAAATAATGCAAATGCAAGTAGATAAATAGGTATCACTTTGGTGGGAAGGTAACAGTGTTCCACTTGCATCAACATATAGTTGTGCAG